AGAGGAAGCTGAAAAAGGCACCTTTCTGGCCAGCCTAGCAAATGACCCGGGGTTGGGGGAACTATCAGCCCGTGGACCTAGAATCATTTCAGACCAGAATACAGGATTTTTACTACTCGATCCGCTTACTGGTGATTTATTTCTAAATGAGAAATTAGACCGACAGGACCTGTGTGGCCCCACAGAGCCTTGTGTGCTGCCTTTCCAGTTGTTACTGGAAAAACCTCTTCAGATTTTCCATGCTGAATTATGGGTCAGAGACATCAACGATCATTCTTCAGTATTTCTAGATAGAGAGATTCCCTTGAAAATATTAGAAGTTACCACTCCAGGGGCGGCATTTCTCCTACAAAGTGCACAGGATTCAGATGTTGGAACAAACAGCCTGAGAAACTACACCATCAGCCCCAATGCCTATTTCCACATTAATGTCCATGATAGTGGGGAGGGGATTATCTATCCTGAATTGGTGCTGGATAGACTGCTGGATCAAGCCTGAGCTCAGTTTACTCAGTTTACTCCTCACCGCCTTGGATGGTGGCTCTCCACCCAGCTCTGGAGCCGCCCTGGTATGCATCCTGGTTTTGGACATCAATGACAACGCCCATGAATTTGTACAGTCTCTCTACAAGGTGCAGATGCCTGAGGATAGCCTTGTTGTCTCTCTGGTTGTCACCATGTCAGCTAGAGATTTAGATACCGGAAGTAACGGGGAAATAGTTTATGCACTTTTTATGCTACTGAAAGAATTCTCAAAACGTTTCAAATCAATCCAACACTGGCAATCTTCATTTAAAGCTGAATTGAACTATGAGGCAATGCAAATTTATATATTACCTTCAGGCCAAAGATGGCAGAGGACTTTCTGGAAAACGTACGATGGTGGTTCAGGTAACAGATATAAATGACAATCCACCAGAACTACTCATGTCATCACTTACTACAGCAATTAAAGAAAACTCACCTGAGACAGTCATAGCTGTTTTTAGGATTCGAGACAGAGATTCAGGAAACAATGCAAAGATGGTGTGCTCCATCCAAGACAATCTCCGCTTCGTCCTGAAGCCATCTGTAGAGAATTACTACACCCTGGTAACCGATAGCTCTCTGGACAGAGAGAAAAGAGCTGAGTACAACACCACCATCACCGTCACTGACATGGGAACCCCCAGGCTGAAAACCGAGCACAACATAACCGTGCTGGTGTCCGACGTCAACGACAACGCCCCCGCCTTCACCCAGACCTCCTACACCCTGTCCGTCCGCGAGAACAACAGCCCCGCCCTGCACATCGGCAGCGTCCGCGCCACAGACAGAGACGCGGGCGCCAACGCCCAGGTCACCTACTCGCTGCTGCCGCCCCTCGACCCGCACGTGCCCCTGGCCTCCCTGGTATCCATCAACCCGGACAACGGCCACCTGTTCGCCCTGAGGTCCCTGGACTACGAGGCCCTGCGGGCGTTCGAGTTCCGCGTGGGCGCCGCCGACCGCGGCTCGCCCGCGCTCAGCAGCCAGGCGCTGGTGCGCGTGCTCGTGGCGGACGACAACGACAACGCGCCCTTCGTGCTGTACCCGCTGCAGAACGCCTCGGCGCCCTGCACCGAGCTGGTGCCCAGGGCGGCCGAGGCGGGCTACCTGGTGACCAAGGTGGTGGCGGTGGACGGCGACTCGGGCCAGAACGCCTGGCTGTCGTACCAGCTGCTCAAGGCCACGGAGCCCGGCCTCTTCGGCGTGTGGGCGCACAACGGCGAGGTGCGCACGGCCCGGCTGCTGAGCGAGCGCGACGCGGCCAAGCACAGGCTGCTGGTGCTGGTCAAGGACAACGGCGAGCCGCCGCTCTCGGCCAGCGTCACGCTGCACGTGCTGCTGGTGGACGGCTTCTCGCAGCCCTACCTGCCGGCCCCGGAAGCGGAAGCGGCGGACGCGGCCCCGGCCGCCCCTCTCACCGTCTACCTGGTGGTGGCCTTGGCGTCGGTGTCGTCGCTCTTCGTCTTCTCGGTGCTGGTGTTCGTCGCGGTGCGGCTGTGCAGGAGGGGCGGGGCGGCCTCGGTGGGTCGCTGCTCGGTGCCCGAGGGCCACTTTCCGGGCCACCTGGTGGACGTCAGCGGCACGGGTCCCTGTCCCAGAGCTACCAGTATAAGGTGTGTCTGCGGGGAGGTACTGGGCCAGCGAGTTCAAGTTCCAGAAGCCGAGTATCACCAATCTCGCATCCCAGAGCATAGGCAGGAAAAGTGGAAGAATATCCCTCATATCAGAATGATTTCGGTTTCTGATAAAGAATGAAAAATAAATGCCGGTATTATATCTGTAAATATATTCCTATTAAGAAATTTATCTCGATTTACCTGTAGAGGAGTGCTTTCACATCATTCCAAGTATTCTTAGGGTCACAGAATAAATATCTTTACACAGAAAAGGATTCAGCTTCAGCCCTAAGAACACTCCAAAAAGCATGGATTGTTTACTGTCACCTTTTGTCTCAATTATGCTTTGTGTGCAGTCTATTACATGACACATCTTATTTGAGATATTTTTAAATTGGAATTCACTGTCTTCAAATATTACTGCTAGTTTTATTTTCTAAGTTGATTAGAGTGCTCAACAAGTATACCTATCCTAACTTTTAAAAAAAAGCACTTACTATGCATCATACACTATTTTACCACTTTTAGAAGTAATCCTATGATGGGAGGTATTTTAGAAATGAGCAAATAGATGTTCATAGACGTTCAGTGAGTTCACTAATGTCACCAACTAATAAATGGCAGAGCTAAGCATCTCTCCTAAATCCTCTGATTCTGGGGCCTTGCTGTGATGCTATACTGTTTTCTTTTGTTAGATATCGCCTGGCAAGTTTCTCCCTAATTAAGGAGAAATCTTTTTTTCATACTAATATTCCTGTTCAGTGTTTCGTGTATTTGCAAAGAAGATATGTATTTGTGGTTTTATTTTCTTATAAACTAATAATCCACTTTTTCTGGATCAATTATTCAACTATTATTTTTAAAGCTCTGATCTATCCAAATCTCAAGTAAAAAAAAAAATGAAAGATCAATCTGTGCTTTCTCCTTGTTATCTGAATATGTGACCTTCATTTGAGAGAACAGATTAACGACCATGAATAGAAATATTACATAATTTTGATCGCTTCATTTGTTTATTTTCCTCACATTGCAGTAATTTTCCTACAGTAGTCCCTACCTTTTTAACACGTTTTTCTCCTTTAATTTGAAAGTTTATTTTTTAAAGTTTCTATTCAATATACTTCAGTACTGAATCGGAAAAGTATAAGAAAAAGAATACTTTTAAATATGCAATATTTAAGAGAAACAAATGATCACTGAATTACTTAAAGATTCTGGAGAGTTAAGGAGAAGCTTTGTTTGTTATAATAATCTGTAACTGCTTTTTCTTTAACAGCTATCCAGATCATTTTTGCAGAGCTGTATTCTGAATATATCATAAGCTAGTGCTGATAACTCTTAAAATAGAAATATTACTGTGCATTACTAATGGGATATGGTCTAACGACAAAAAAAAAAGAACCTCACAGCATTAAAATCTTAAGTTGTTTCCATAGCGTCAGGATAAAATTATTTAGTTTTTCAAGCAAATCAATGGCATGGAAAAGGGGAGGAGGGAATCTTGCACAATGAGAGGAATTAAGACATACCAACCAAATGCAATGGATAGTGGATCTTGTTTAATCTTGATTCAAACAATCATAACAATTTTGAAGTAACTGGGAAAATCTGAATATAGATGGGATATTAAACAATATTAACTTAATTTCTTAGGTGTGGTAAGGGCATTGTAGTGGGTTTTTTGAGACATTAAAAGTTAGAGATTTATAATGAAGTTTTATGGGTAAAAATTTAGTTTGGGATGTGAAAATGTTGGGGAGATAGGGTAAACAATTGTAGCAAAATACTGATAATTGTTCTAGCTAGTTATGAGTACCTGGGGGTTATCATACTATTCTCCTTCATTATGGGGTTTGAAAATTTTCAAAATAAAAGGTTTTTAAAAATTTACACTATAAGAAGAGAAGAGGACACCCTTCTGAGATACAGAATCATCACTACCATCACAGATTATACATGTATTAGAAAGATTCTCCAGCCTTTCCGGTTTCATCGTTTGATATGATAACTTCATCCTGAAATAATGCTGCTCATGAATTCTTCTACCACGTGAATCTTGGGGTTTTTTTTAGTCATGACAATGGATTAATGCAAACTGAGCTTACCTAATGGCATCACATTACATGCCTGGTGTGTGTGTGTGTGTGTGTGTGTGTGTGTGTGTGTGTGTGTGTGGTTAATCTCTTTCTGCCTCAGTTTCCCCATCTGTAAGGTGAGGAACTCACAGCAGCCCTATGTAGTAAGTACCATTAATATCTCCACCTTAGACAGATGAGAAAACTGAGGCAGAGGTTAAATAACGTGTCCAAGGTTCACAGCTACTAATTATTCCCATAGTTCATGGCAATAAAAGTATATAATTCTGAAAGTTTTCTATGTTATTATATATATATTTAAATTTCTGCATATAGTCTTTCTTCTCAGGCAAACTGTTACATAAATATTTTCTTTTTGCTACAAACGCAATTAGCATTATTGAAAGTAGTCTCTACTAATATCATTTCTCCTGTATGGCCCTCAGACAATTGCCTCAACCTTAAGGTTTAGAGATAGTAAAAATAGTATTGTAGCCTTACATAGCTCGGTGATACGTACTGGCAAGAGTTGGGAACACTGGGAGTTCCCTGGTGGTCCCGGGTTAGTCCCTGGTCGGGGAATAGAGATCCCGCAAACCACGCGGCTCAGCCAAAATTTTTAAAAGCAAAACAAAAAGAGCTGGGAACATTGCATCCATTTTCAACCCAGAAAATGTAAGATCCTCTGAGGACGCGTGGTGGCGCTGCACGATAAGGTACAAACCGGAACCGCAGCTGCGTCTCCATTAACAGGCAAAACTCAACAGCAGAGCCTGGAAGCCCATGAGAAGCTTGGATGCCACAGAAGGAGGACTGGGTCCTCTGTAAAGGACTACTCACTGGAATATTTCTGAAGTACCTTGTGGAATAACTACAGTCTCAGAAACGTACTCAGGCCTTTACAGCTCAGCGGAACCACCCTCGCCAGAGGCTATACCGAGCAAGAACAATGGAGGTTGGCGGGAAGCTCATTTGCAGACAAAGGCAAGTCTTTTTCTTCTTTTTCTTCTTGGGCTTAGCTCAGGCGGGCTCTGAATTTAGGCGTTATTCTGTGGTGGAGGAAACTGAAGGGAGCTCTTTTGTAACCAATTTAGCAAAAGACCTGGGTCTGGGGCAGGGGGAACTTTCCAGGCGGGGAGCTAGGGTCATTTCCAAAGGAAACAAACTGTATCTGCAGCTCCATCAGGAGACTGGGGATTTACTGCTAAATGAGAAACTGGACCGCGAAGAACTGTGTGGTCAGACAGAGCCCTGTATGCTGCGTTTCCAGGTGTTGCTAGAGAATCCCTTAGAGTTTTTTCAAGCTGAGCTACAGGTAATAGACATAAATGACCATGCTCCGGTGTTCATGGACAGAGATATGTTGCTAAAAATATCAGAGAGCAGTCCTCCTGGGACTAAGTTTCCTCTGAAGAACGCTCAGGACATGGATGTAGGCCGAAACAATATTGAAAACTATACAATCAGTCCCAACTCCTATTTCCGGGTCCTCACCCGCAAACGCAGCGATGGCAGGAAATATCCGGAACTTGTGCTGGACAAAGTGCTGGATCGGGAGGAGGAACCTGAGCTCAGGTTAACCCTCACTGCTCAGGATGGCGGTTCTCCACCCCGGTTTGGCACCGCTCAGGTCTACATCGAAGTCCTGGACATCAACGATAATGCCCCTGAATTTGAGCCGCCTTTCTATAGGGTGCAGATCCCCGAGGACAGTCCCATAGGCTACCTGATTGTCAAAGTCTCTGCTACGGATATAGACATAGGAATCAACAGAGAGATTTCCTATTCACTTTTCCAGGCTTCAGAAGAGATTAGCAAAACCTTTGAGATCAACGTCATGACAGGAGAAATTCGACTGAAAAAACAACTTGATTTCGAAACAACTCAGTCTTATGAGGTCACTATCGAGGCCAGAGATACTGGAAGTCTTTCTGGGAAATGCACCGTTCTGACTCAAGTCATGGATGTGAACGACAATGCTCCAGAAGTCACCATGTCTGCACTTACCAGGCAGATCCCCGAGAACTCTCCTGAGACTGTGGTTGCAGTTTTCAGTGTTTCAGATCTTGATTCTGAAGAGAACGGGAAAATAAGTTGCTACATTCAGGACGATCTACCTTTTTTCCTTAAATCTTCCATGGAAAACTTTTATACCCTAGTAACAGAGAGACCGCTAGACAGAGAGACCAGAGCAGAATACAACGTCACCATCACCGTCACGGACCTGGGGACACCCAGGCTGAAAACCGAGCACAACATAACCGTGCTGGTGTCCGACGTCAACGACAACGCCCCCGCCTTCACCCAGACCTCCTACACCCTGTCCGTCCGCGAGAACAACAGCCCCGCCCTGCACATCGGCAGCGTCCGCGCCACAGACAGAGACGCGGGCGCCAACGCCCAGGTCACCTACTCGCTGCTGCCGCCCCTCGACCCGCACGTGCCCCTGGCCTCCCTGGTATCCATCAACCCGGACAACGGCCACCTGTTCGCCCTGAGGTCCCTGGACTACGAGGCCCTGCGGGCGTTCGAGTTCCGCGTGGGCGCCGCCGACCGCGGCTCGCCCGCGCTCAGCAGCCAGGCGCTGGTGCGCGTGCTCGTGGCGGACGACAACGACAACGCGCCCTTCGTGCTGTACCCGCTGCAGAACGCCTCGGCGCCCTGCACCGAGCTGGTGCCCAGGGCGGCCGAGGCGGGCTACCTGGTGACCAAGGTGGTGGCGGTGGACGGCGACTCGGGCCAGAACGCCTGGCTGTCGTACCAGCTGCTCAAGGCCACGGAGCCCGGCCTCTTCGGCGTGTGGGCGCACAACGGCGAGGTGCGCACGGCCCGGCTGCTGAGCGAGCGCGACGCGGCCAAGCACAGGCTGCTGGTGCTGGTCAAGGACAACGGCGAGCCGCCGCTCTCGGCCAGCGTCACGCTGCACGTGCTGCTGGTGGACGGCTTCTCGCAGCCCTACCTGCCGGCCCCGGAAGCGGAAGCGGCGGACGCGGCCCCGGCCGCCCCGCTCACCGTCTACCTGGTGGTGGCCTTGGCGTCGGTGTCGTCGCTCTTCGTCTTCTCGGTGCTGGTGTTCGTCGCGGTGCGGCTGTGCAGGAGGGGCGGGGCGGCCTCGGTGGGTCGCTGCTCGGTGCCCGAGGGCCCCTTTCCGGGCCACCTGGTGGACGTCAGCGGCACGGGGACCCTGTCCCAGAGCTACCAGTACGAGGTGTGTCTGACAGGAGGCTCTGGGACCAGCGAGTTCAGGTTTCTGAAGCCAATTGTGACCAATTTTCAGGGCCATTCCCCTGGCCCAGATATAGAAGAAACCCCCAACTTTAGGAAAGATTTTGGTTTCAGTATTCAGTGACAGCAATTGTGTTTCACGTTCCATATATTTTAAATTGATACTTCAAGGTGATGGTTTTTCTGGCAACCTATCATGAACTTTTAAACTACACTAAACTTGCTTGCAAATTTTGTTTTAAAGAAAGGTATCTTTTCTTCATTACTGTAAGAAAATTAATGGTCCTAAATCTTGCCTCTCAAAACACTGTTGAAGTCAATAAATGTACAGGTCCTTTCTGGCATAGCTTAGAAATGTGTTAGGAAAAAAATCAGTGGGAAATTAATTCTATATAATCAGTTATATTTCCTTGAGGTTTTCTTATTAGTTTTTAAACCATTAAGTATATAAGAGCAGTACTGCACTAACACACTGAAGCATGCCCAATCAGGAAGGAGAGAGAACTGGTACAACGAGAATCTGGCTCTTACTTTATTCTGCTCTCATAGCACTTTATTCTTATTTTCTCTTATTAATTGTATATTCATTAATATACCAGTGTTAGTTTTAATATAGTTATTGTAATTGCTTTCCATTTAGTTTCACTGGTGTAAAAGGGGAGAAAAAGCTACACTGTGTTTATCCAGTGTGATGAAAGGGCATAGTAGGAAATTGGCTTTTCCCACTTGAGAAACATTGGTCATCTTGTGACAGAAAATGCAGTAGCTGTCCAATCTCCATTCATCTTTTCTTCTTTGGTAACACACTCCAAATTTCATTTAGAGCATTAGTGTGCTTAGTCAAAAGAACGTTTTCCCAGGCTCCTTGGCAGCTAAAACGGGACATTTGACTATATGTATATGCAAATGTTGTTAGAGACTTTCCAAGAAGGCCATTAAAAGGGAGGTGACTCATCTAGGAAGGGGTCCCTTTTTGTCCTCTAACTGCTTCTTGCTGCTTGGAATGTGGGAGTCTTGATTGGAACACAATCAGTCATATTGAGCCATAAAGCAACACCAAGGATGGAAATAATGGACCAAGACAATCAGTATAGAATAAACTTTAAAGAGATGAGGACCCCTGATAATCACAGTTACCGTGTCATCCCTGGATTGCTCACTTCTGAGCTTTTTTTACATGAGAAATAAAGGAACTTCTATCTCATTTAAGCCACCATCATTTTAGTTTTGTGCTACCTCCAGTGGAATCCAATCCTAATGCTTTCACAGTAAGACTTTTTGTTAAAATGTTATACAATACAGTAAAATGGACAAATCTTAAGTGTATAGTTTGATCTAACTGATCTTTGTCAAGTTTTCCTTGATTTCTAATTTACTTAAGAGTACAGAGTGCTTTACATTCATTATCTTTTTAATCCTCTGCCAAACCCTAAGGAAGTTGGCATGTTATTTCCTCTTTTACTTGTTCACAATTCTTAAGTAATAAAAGGAAAAATTTGGAATATATTCTAAGTCTACTTGAATGGAATGTTCCAGTTCTTAACCAGTACGCTATCACAGCAGGCATTAACTGGTGGCATTGTCTTCCTAACCAAGTAAGTGAAATCCTTCTATTGCATGAATTGAACTCCTATGTAGAAATGTAACTTTTAGTCTGTAGCTTGATTTTGTTTCTATACCAGAGATCACACTGCTCTGGACCAATAAACCCAAAGTTCTTACAGAAGCACTGACCTAAGTAAGCTGGGTCAGGTACCACAATTGACCTTCATCATGATCTTATCAGCCTGATTACCTTCCTGTACCTTCTCAACATATCACATTCATTATTGCAGAAATGAAGGCCCTAAACAGGGAGTAGAATTACCCTATGGTTGTATTTCTTGAGTTTTTTTGTACTATTCCTTCAGTCTTTTTCTGTCAGTCCTAATATATATTTTCTCTTTTTTTGAAAGTTTATTATATACATTCTGTAAGTCCCTTATTCAAATTAAATATACTGTATTCATTTTAGTGCACTATTTCTTTGAAAGTAGTTGCTATTCTAGTATTAGCTCTAAATGAAATAACTAATTTCAGAAAAGTATAGGCAATGAGGTGGAGGAATTTTTATCACTAAATAATTTAGAGATTCTGGAAATTAAATAGAAATAAAGATGATAGGCTCCAGTTATTTTCTATTAAAACTAACCATATGTCTTTGACAATGCCTCTTAAAAATTATGCTGAAAAAAGATTTAGAGGGTCATAAATGACTTTATTCTGAAAGGATGGCTCACAAGAGCTGAATCAGACATTCTTCAGCATTTGCTATGGTAATCCAATTTTGTAGAGTGATGAATTTTGTTAACTCAGATGCTGGGTGCATGAAATTTCATGCTTATGTATTCATTTTCTATTTCTACTATTAAAAATTATCACAAACTTGGTTGCTTAAAACAATAAAAATGCACTACTATATAGTTCTGTAGATCTGATGTCTGATATGGGTATGACTGGGTTAAATTCAAGATGTCACCAGGGGTGCATTCTCTTCTGGTGGCTCTAGAGGAGAATCTATTTCTTTCTCTTCTCCAGTTTCTAGATGCTGCCTACAGTACTTGACTCATGGCCCCTTTCATCCATCTTCAAAGGCAGCAACATTGTTTCTCTTAGTCCACTTCTTCTGTAATCACAGAGGGGTGTAATCACCCCTCTGACCATAGCCAGGAAAGGTTCTGTCCCTCCCAGATAATCCAGGATAACCTACCCCCCACAAGGTCCTCAATTTACTTATATCTGTGAATTCTCTTTTGCCATGTAAGATAACATATTTACAGATTTGGGGAATTAGGGCATGAACATCTTTTGGTGGGTAGCCATTATTCTGCCTACCGCAGGTTGACTGCTTGAAAGAAAATTATCTGGTCTAGCAGGACCACCTGTGGCCAAAGGAAGGCATACAAAGACCTTTATAACAGAAGTTTAGACCCCACTGATTGAATGCTTTGACCCCAGACAAGGTATTTATCAAAAGTTGTTCTACAGATTGTTAACAAAAACACTGGATTTATAAAAAAACATTATGAATCTTTACTGGAATTCAATTTAAATTTTAAAAATGGAAAATCTGAACTAAAGAGTATTTTGGGGTTTTTTTAGATGATGAAAATGTTCTAAAATTGACTGTGGTGATGGATGCACTACTCTGTGAATATACTAAAAGTGACTGAATTGTAGACTTTAAACGAGTGAATTGTATGGTATGTGAATTACATCTCATTAAACCTGTCTTTTAAAAGTAATAAAACAGAAATTATTCTTGTCATGATAAAAAAAAAAATCCCAAAACATGGCAGGCCTAACCCTTAGACTGCCTTTTTGGTAAATAACTTTCCAATAATTTGAAAGTTTCAAAAACTCATGTCCTCAGGCTTAGGTGCTGGAAAGAAGAGGAAGTAATCTACTCTTTAATAGGGCGTTGATAAAATACTCTCTTTAGAACCATCACTGATTGCAATTTTGCAATGTCCACTCATCTGTAATTCTATAACATGTACCATGAAAATAATGTACTTGTGAAACTGTTCCCATATTATTTCAGAAATATTTTGCTCCTAAATTTATATTCTTCTCAGCTTAAATGTTAATTATTTTATTTAATTATTTACCCTGAACAGCTTTAAACAGTCAACATAATGAAAGTTTACTCTGAGTACTCCTCCTGTGTAACAACACAGCTCTCTCTGAACTCATAAAAACCACAAGAAAATAGAACTAAGTGTTTCATATTACAGAACACGGTTGACACAGCCTAATGTGTTACATTTAGAAGAATTTTGCATCCAACGTTAAACCAGAAAAGATAAGACATAGTAAGAACGCATGGTGGCGCTGCAGGTTAAGGTGGTGAGAAACAGAATTGCAGACGTAGCTCCAGGATCCAGCCAGTTTCACACTGCCTGGAAGCTGAAGAACAGCTTTCTCAGTCAGAGCACAATGTGCGTGAAACCTCTTTAAAACTGTATTTAGAGACATAGTTCTGACCTGCTATACTGCAGGACCGGACTACCAGGATCCTGGGCATATATGAAGCTCCTGTGAACTCAGTTTTCAGGAAAGAGCAATGGAGATTGGATGGATGCACAATCCGAGACAAAGGCAAGTCCTAGTTTTCTTTGTTTTGCTGAGCATGTATGGGGCGAGCGCAGAGTTGGGGCCCTATTCAGTAGTGGAAGAAACAGAGAGAGGTTCCTTTGTGGCAAATGTAGGAAAAGACCTGGGGCTGGGGTTGACAGAGATGTCCACCCGCGGTGCCCGGATCATTTCCCAGTGGAACAAAGAGCATTTGCAGCTCAAGGTTCAGACTGGGGATTTGCTCATAAATGACAAACTAGATCGAGAGAAGCTGTGCGGTCCGAGTGAGCCTTGCATACTACATTTCCAAGTATTAATGGAAAAACCGTTAGAGATATTTCAGGCAGAACTGAGAGTGAAAGACATAAATGACCATTCCCCCGTGTTCACTGAAAGAGAAATGATTCTAAAAATACCGGAAAACAGTCCTATAGGAATTTCATTCCCTCTGAGTAATGCTCTGGACTTGGATGTAGGCAGCAACAATGTTCAGAACTATAAAATCAGCCCCAACTCCCATTTTCGGGTTCTAACCCAAAATCGCAGCGATGGCAGAAAATACCCTGAGCTGGTGTTGGACAAAGAGCTGGATCGGGAGGAGGAGCCTGAAATCTCATTAACCCTGATAGCGCTGGATGGCGGCTCTCCGCCTCGGTATGGAACCGCCCAGGTGCACATTGAAGTGGTGGACAGTAACGATAATGCCCCTGAGTTTGAGCAGTCGCTCTACAAGGTGCATATTCCCGAAGACAGCCCCATAGGCTCCCTGGTTGTCACTGTCTCTGCCAGCGATGTAGACAGTGGAGTCTATGGGAAAATATCATACACATTCTTTCAGCCTTCAGAAGATATTAGTAAAACTTTGGAGGTAAATCCTATGACAGGTGAAATTCGACTGAGAAAAAAAGTAGATTTTGAAACAGTTCTGTCTTATGAAGTGGACATCAAGGCCACTGATGGGGGAGGTCTTTCAGGAAAATGCACTCTTCTCCTGCAAGTAGTGGATGTGAATGACAATCCTCCAGAAGTGACAGTGTCC